GGGCAAATACAAGTCTTGCTGCCGTTAATATGTGTAGTATTAGATATCTGCAATCTCTCTCATAATTAGCGCCTGTTATTCCTAACAAAAATAATTCTGAGCAACTATTCACGTTTATGACGAGAAAAAAACAAACCAATTTTGCAACCAGTCCTCACATTTATGACTTTCACGGGTCTGTAAAGCCAAGGAGAGCTGAAGCAAGATCGTAAACACAGTTGTGGTTTCACTTAAGGACTGTTTTGTTTAACAACCAAGTGGCAGGTCCCAGTTGGCCTGCGTTACAAAAATTGAAAGCCCGTTTGGGGTAGTGGTTCAGGCGCTTCCGGGAGTGGTGAGAAAGTGGGAGACGCTGAATTCTAGTCCTGCCTTAAGCACAAAGCCAGCCACTTTATCTCTGCCCTAGGATGGAGGCATTGGCAAACCCCGTTCTGAGAAACACTGCTAAGCAAACTGCAGGAGAAAGTTGCCGAGAGCCGAAACTGATTAGAAGACACAGATTTTAAAAATTTCAAAAAAATTAAAATAAATTAAAATGGGATAGGAACGACGGGAAGGGTCCATACAATAGGCGTATACAATTAATCTGTTCTTTAATCTTTCTATTACATCTGGACTGCATAGACATGTATTTTTATATCCATGTATTTTTATAACACAAAGGCTTTTCCATAGTTGCAGGATTTGCAACGGTTGCAAGGAAGATTACAAAACCGCAGACTGAGAAATAATATTAATATTAGAGGGGAGGCAATGAACTGATATGGATTGCGATAATTTTATTTATTTGTTTGTATCCGGCCTTTTTTTATTTTTATAAATAACTCAAAGTGACGAACACCTTCCTCCTCCTATTTTCCCCACAACAATCCTGCGAGGTGGGTTAGCCTGCGAGAGAGACCCAAAGTCACCCAGCCAGCTGTCGTGCCTAAGGCAAAACTAGAATTCACAGTCTCCTGGTGATTGGCCCAAAGTCACCCAGCCTGATTTAGGGCCTAAGGCGGGACTAGAACTCACTGTCTCCTGGTGATTGGCCCAAAGTCACCCAGCTGGCTTTCATGCCTATAATGGGACTAGAAGTCATCGTCTCCTGGTGATTGGCCCAAAGTCACCCAGCCGGCTTTAGGGCCTAAGGTGGGACTAGAACTCACTGTCTCCTGGTGATTGGCTCAAAGTCACCCAGCTGGCTTTCATGCCTATGGCAGGACTAGAACTCATCATCTCCTGGTGATTGGCTCAAAGTCACCCAGCTGGCTTTCATGCCTATGGCAGGACTAGAACTCAACATCTCCTGGTGATCGGCCCAAAGTCACCCAACTGACTTTCATACCTACAGCAGGACTAGAACTCACCGTCTCCTGGTGATTGGCCCAAAGTCACCCAGCCAGCTTTCATGCCTAAGGCGGGACTACAACTTACAGCATTGGACCGAGTCGTGCCTTTGCGGCCTCTGACCCGACGTAGATCTCGATTGGCTCCCTGGTTTACCGGGGAGCTGAGAGAGATGAAACGTCGGAAAAGATGCCTAGAGAGATGTTGGAGGGCCAGCCGAACCGAACCTGACCGAACACGGGTTAGGATACATGTTAGATCCTACCTAGTGGCGATGAGGGTGGC